CCCCCCCCCCCCTTCCTGCAGCAGAGTAGGAAGGAACGATTGGCCATCATCGGTGGTCGTTCCCGTGGGGAACAAACCTCCGTCCTCTCGAGGACGAGTGGTCAATGGTCTAACAGCTAAGGCATGCGAAACATACCACAGATGCCCCTCTCCCCCATTCTCACCTTCCGCCCACCCAGTCCCAGAAGCCGAAGATATTGGCCGCGTCGATTCCGAAGTCCTGCACCAGCTTGTCGCTAGTGCTCACCGCAACCTCAACAACCAAGAGATAAGGGGGGTTAGGGGAGGTGTTCTCATAGCCGTGCATGCCGTAGTCGATAGGCCATTGGCCTCGCATCCCTGCAACGGTGACGGTAGGGGTATAAACAAGGCTGAGGCGTAGGAAGGTAAGGATCGGTGGGTTTTGGTTGGAAAGGGAGACAGCAGCAAGTGTCCAGCCGCAGGTACGATGGCAACAGTCAAGACCGCAGGGGCGTGCAACAGCTGCTTGTCGCAACATCACAAAGACCACGCGTTGGAAACACAGGGTTCCTTCGTTCCCTGGTCGTCGAGACGAAGGTCTTCAACGCAGACTCTCCCGCACATGATCATGCGACAACACACGCGGTACACCCCATCGTCGAAACGATCAACACGCAACAGCTGCTGCTGCTGCTGCTGATAACCCCACGGCGTGTGCTGGCCCCGTTCATCCCCTTCGAGGAATCCCCCCCATAACAAAACACCCTTTCTCCCGGCTACCCCAGACGCAACCAGTGAGGTCCCATACAACTAGACAAAAAACAGAACAAGAAAATGTGTATTCTTTGTCTGGCACCGAGCGCGGACTCACGATGTGCTGGCTTGTGATCTCCGCCGCGGTCTTCCCCTTGATTGAGGTGATGAGCCAGTCCTTCATGGTGCGGGCATTGAGCATGGTCTCAGCCGTGGTGAAGGTCTTGCTCACCACGACCACCAAAGTCTCCTCGGGGTTGAGCCTTTTCATAGCCGAGTTTGGGCGGGGAGGGGGGGGGGGGGGTACTCGTAGTCGTGCATGCCGTGTCGTTCGACCGTTGACCTCGCATTCCTACAAAGCCGGGACGGAGCACGCCGGGTTCTCACCGGACTAGGCTCTCACATCACCAAGCGCGAAGCGCCGTGAGATAGTCGGCGAGCCGCATGAAGGGTGCGCTGCATCCTGCTAAGGGTGTTCGGCATCTTGTGCTTACTTCCTTGCGTGCGGATGACAGCTGCGTATGACTTCAAAAATTTTCTGGTACTTTCACTTCCAGAGACAGTTGTAAGCACTGTGTAACTGCCTCGAGGGTGCTTGACCAATTTAACACAAGGTGGTGCGATCATCCCCCTTGCGCGGAGTGAGGGTTCTCGACCCCGCACAACATGATCTACTCGACCACCATTATGGTTACGGCCGAAAAAAAACAACGGTAACCTGGTTGCCGAGTTCACGAAGTGAATTGGCTTGTTTTACAACGTCGTTGCCAAGCGACGAAAACCCAACCCCGATGGCGAACACCGAGGGGGGGGGACTTGTTTCACAACGTCGTTGCCAAGCGATGAAAACCCAACCCCGATGGCAACCACCGGGCGGCAGGGGGGGGAGGGGGGGGTGCGCAGAAGCGTATGTTTGGAGAAGGCGAGGCGCAACGTCTGTCGTTGAGAAGGTCTTCACCAACGGGACATCCGCACAAGATGAACATTGTCGTCGAAACGCCTTTCCGACTGAAAAACGAGGCATTCACTCCCTCACTAACCCGGAAATGGCACGGCTAACGTCGACCGGGTCGACGTTGGCCAAGAACCTCAGGGTCCTCCCCATCGACGCGCCCTGGGCCGCCGGCTCGCACTTGAGGGCCTCGACAACGAACTCCGGGCCTAGGTATGAACCGCCTGCACAAACCATCAACATGACAGAAAAAGGAAAACTTGTCAGCACAGGCTAGGTACGACCCGCCGCCTGCGAAACATCATCATCACAGAATAAAACTCCTTTCTGTTCAACGAGGCCGAGGTACAAACCGCATGCAAAAATCATCAACACAAACTTCCTTCGTAAACACAGGCTAGGTATGACCTACCTGCAGACAACACATCTACCACAGGTAAATAAAAGTCAAACTTCATTGATGTCAACCAACGCAAGCCTCGGAAAAAAAAATAGAATCAGTTCTCAAATGGCTGGGGCGGCGATATCTGTGCACAAAACCGATTGCGCCCGCTGAGTCCCGTTAAGTCCGGTACTTGTCTCTTGCCCCTCCCCCCCCCAGAAAACACGCGTGGCCCAACAACGCCGAAGCCACTTGACCAACTTACCGATGCCGATAGAGACGATGTTGGTGAGGGGCTTTCCGGTGCATCCCTTGAACACGCCGGAGCGGACGCGTGCCGAGAAGTCCTCGATCTTGTCCAGGACAGAGTGCACGTCCGGCACGACGTTCTTGCCGTCTACGTTCATGGTCTGTACACAAAACGAAGAAAAACAAAAACAAATGGGGAAGCTTGTACGTGCCTGGAGACGTTGACCGGGACAGTACCGAACAACCACGACTAGAAAAGCGAAGAACGAGTGCAGGTGATCCCGACGGAGTGGGCTCATTGAAGCACAGTTTCATCAATCATGCAACATCTACGTAAAATAAGGCCCAGGGACCAACTCCAGAGATGGTTGCCAGCTGCGGTGTGACGTGTCCTAAGCTCACACTGCTGACGAGCTTTCCAACACAACACTCTAGCGAACCTCGAATGCACCAAAAACAACACACAACAAAATCTGTAACGCCGTGTGTGAATCTAAGAACGGAAGAAGGGATGGAAACGTATTTTTATTGTCTTGCTAGATGAGAAACCCAGCCGGAATGATGACAACCACACATGTCAGGCCGTGTTGCGGGATGTGGTGTGAGAACGTGATGGTAGCGGGTTGATCGTTCAAGTACTGCATGCAATAAGCCCAGCGTACGTGGAGCCTTCTCATCACGGGGGGTTCCGTGTGTTACCCTAGACAGAGGACGGCGGCACCCCTTCTTCTTGGGTGCTCAGTTGCGGCATCCCATCCGCTTGACACAGGAACGGCACATACCGCTTTCACAATACAAACGATGGCTCGCTACGGCCACCCGAGGCTCGATACACTGAGGGAGGGAATGCAACCCAAACGCGAGAATGTTTAAGTTGACATTCGCTGGATGACTGATCAACAAAAACAGGGGCATCTCACCGCTTCCCTGGGGGCCCGCAGAGCGACGTGCATGACCGCCCTCCCCTCCGTGTTGTTGATCTTCTCCCCGGTGAACATGGCCGCACGCTTACCGGCGAGATCTGCGGCTTCTGCCAGGTTGAACAGCATGTCCTGCGCGGGGGGGATAACAGTAAGGCTTTGCATGCCAATATTGACCACGCGTCCTCCAGAGGGCAGAGCATTGTTTCCCACAGGACATACCACTGACGTTTAATCGTTCCTTCCTACTCTGACAAGGCGGGGGTGTACTCATAGTCGTGCATGCCGTAGTCATTACTCGCATCCCTACAAAGCCTGGACGGAGCACGCCGGGTTCTCACCGGACCAGGCTCTCACATCACCAAGCGCGAAGCGCCGTGAGATATTCGGCGAGTCGCATGAAGGGTGCGCTGCATCCTGCTAAGGGTGTTCGGCATCTTGTGCTTACTTCCTTGCGTGCGGATGACAGCTGCGTATGACTTAAAATATTTTCTGGTGCTTTAACTTCCAGAGACAGTTGTAAGCATTGTGTAACTGCCTCGAGGGTGCTTGANGTGTTATGGTCACCGCCAAAAAAAAAAACAGAGGTAAAAAAAACAACGGTAACCTGGTTGCCGAGTTCACGAAGTGAATTGGCTTGTTTTACAACGTCGTTGCCAAGCGACGAAAACCCAATCCCGAT